GGCATCATCTGGCTGACAGCGTATCATGATCACTGACTGGACCGGCTCACACCACTGTCAATCGCTTTTCCTCATCCATGTCCTGTCACGTTTTTCACAAATGTCCTTTTTTAGGAAATCGCCGATCCATCCGCGATGTTTATTGAATACCTTGGTGCAATGACTACATTTATTGTGGTGTACGTCATAGAAGAACGGTAAGTTCTGAATCACTATGTCTGTATTGGTCACAATACACTAGCTGCAGTCATAAAACACATACCTTCTACATGTATGTGGAATGATGTGTTTCAATGTAGATTCTTGGCCTGTATCAGGTTCACGCTTAAGGTTTGACGACTCAAGGAATTCCAGCACAGCTTAAGGTGTGAATTTTTATTCTTCTGTAATCTGTATTATTTTAGAAAATATATCTAGATAATAATAATAAAAAATCTGCGAGTTTCTTAGTACAGCAGCGGCGTGAAATATGCGTATAGAGGAATAGGGATGTGTGGGTCTTAATGGGAAAACAAAGCTCGTAATAAATGTAGGGACATAATTCATGTTTGAATAAAGATATCTTAAAAGATATATTTTCAGTGCTGTGATAACTTACATGACATTTTAATGTATCTAATTTATTTCGATTCCTTTCAAAATAAAAAAAAACAGAACGTCTTTTTGTTCATTTTTCGAATGTTGACTTGAAAGACATGCATGTAGAGATAATTTCGATATTTAAAGACATTTCCGTTTAGGGATTGAACTTCAGAGCTCATGCTATGAACGGCTGAAACTGAAACACCTCTACATTGATGAGAAAGGCGGAGTTATGTCCCTTGTTTGAATAAGCAAAATGGCGCCGCCACTATAGTAACGCTACAGCGGCGGCGGCGGATATTTTCCTCGCCGAAAACTGGCTATTACCCATGGCTACAGAGTGCTTTTAAAGGTGAAAATGTAGATTTTGTGTTTAAGTTGGAGATAACATATTCCTGATGTCAGAAGAACTTCCTTGACGCTAAACCATGACTTAGACCTGTCTGACTGCAAGACATTTTAGCAAAATTCATTCATCATAATAAATTTTGCTGCAAGTCATGCGACCTGACGAATAGGTGGAAGTTTTAAAATACACGAACAAAAATAATGTCTTTCAATAAAACCTTAAAGAAAACTCTGCTTCATGCATGGATCCGACTAACATTTGTAAATTTTGCATAAAGCTCAAGTAAGGTGATGTTTGAACAATTTGATTCAGATTTGTGCACAGATTCCCGCGGATAAAATCTGTGCTTCTCATTTTACAAAATGCATAAAATAGCCTCTATGTATAACCAAGATGTGTGTAAGTCGTCTATGAGTATCCATCATGCGATGCATACAATTAAGTTACGGAAAGGGGCGAGTGGTGACGGATCAAGTCGAATCGCGTATCACGGAAAGAAACGAGAGGTACCGAATGAACTTGACAGTTATTTTATAAATTGGACTGACCCAACCTTACACCCCATCTTATGAGAAAAGTGGACTTGCCCTTAGTTACCCACATATCGTTGCTAATCGCTTCCTCGACCGTCCGCACATCCTCTATAAATTACGTAACAGACGCACAACGGCTTCTTCTTCACTGTATCTCGTCAGAGAAACATCGAAGTAATCTCTCGAAAAATCCTACGCTGTGACCACATATTCCTGAGCTGTCTGCTGAATTCTTCCTGATGTCTCGGAGACTTGTCTCAGGTAAGTTTGTTTTTTTTTTAATATTTTTTTTATCATCCTTTAGATCTAGATCTACATTTACATATTCAAATATTCTTAGTTTCACCAGATAGTCTAATCACGCTAGATCTACCTGCTTGATACATATTAAACATGTTAAATACGATTTAGATTTTGGAACCAGAATCGAACGAATGTATTTCCGTTAATGTTTGTTTTGATGACAATCGATGGAAGGAAATTGTAGACATGGTAGAGAAGTTGATTGTTCCACCACTCTTTTTTTAGCGAGTCCCGTGAGAGAGGTATTCGCTTTCTTTCTTAATATAGGATAACTGGACTATGGTTACCCCTTATTTTACATTAGTTGGTTAACTTTCGAACAATTTAAAGGTTACCGTTAGGCCTATAATAGTTTCGAGGTGCTGGTGCTTTCCAGCGAACAAATGTTAGACTAAGTTATGTCGTGTTCATTCACCACCTATTTATTAGGTCGGGCGTGGAAAAACGTCATCCTTTTCCATATTTTATTAGTGAGGGTAGATCTAAGTTTTATACTTTTTGCCCATCTTGTTTGTACGATGACGGAATGTTCAGTGGATGAACGTGTCTCATCAAGTCAAATTTACCGCATATATAAACTTAAAATGAAAACCAAAGCCAGTTAGGCCTAGAAATTCCGCACGGAGAACCTTCCAAATTAAGTATTCCTTGAGATAAAACGTAGGATTTTCTTTCAATTTGTATAAAGTTATTGTTACCCAATACCTTGTTGTAAATAATCTTAATGGTTAATAACGAGCCTTACTTTTAGTTTAAAGTCAACACTTGAATGATGCATGTTCTAGGTATTAGATATTTGAAATTTTGCGGTTGAAACTAAAGGAACCAACTACCAATACACCGTTTGTGAATTTAACTCAATTAGGTCTGTTTATTTAACTTTGCTAATACATTGAGTATTTTGATCCATATTCTGATCGACAAATGAGGTGAATATAAAAACTAAGCAATATGTAGATATACTGACACAGCACATGCAGTGCTGAACATTATGTTGAGTATATTACGAACGGGGGATAATTCCGAAATTCGTTTTACCTACATCATAAATATTGTTCGTAGAACTCAGTGAGTCTTCTTCCCGTTATTTCTTACTGTTATTATTTCCAGCAAGGTACACATGTTTGTTTGATGCTACTAATAATGTATTTTGTATCTACTATGATAATTAAAGATTTAACAAAAGCTTTTATAATTCGCCATGAATATATATATAGTTGTCTTCTGAAAACTATATTTGATAGGTTCTGATTAATGTTTAATTTCATATTAAAATGAATTTAATGAAGTCACTAAGTCCGCATTGATCAACTGTTGACTGTTGGGGAAACGTGCCATTACTCACGATCTGATGTAGGCTTAACCATTTTCGTGTTGGCGGTTTATGTATTTTTTGTTTGTTTATGTTTGATTTTTCCATAGCACCTGTATTTTTTTCATAAGATACATAGATCTATGATTAACAAATTAATCATTGTTTCCTTGTGTGTTAATTTAACAGGATCACTGATAAGTTTTGCACGTTTTGCATTTCTTCCAAAAACACTGGTTCATTAAATTAGTTAGGCCCTAATCCATTACTGAAGTTTACCTCCTTTAAGTATAGCTACACTGAACTTCCCTCTCATAAACTGCAACAAGGTGTATCCATAACCTGTAAGATATTGTGTGAAAATCATATTCCTTGGGAAAGTGATTAGTGAGTGAGTATGGTTCTATGCCCCGTTTAGCAATATTCCAGCAATACGTGATGACGAAATGTATTATCTGCATGAAAAAAGCACAGCTGGAACATGCATACCTGATATGAGGATTTGATTATAAGTGTGATAAAATCATTATTCTTTTCCATGAAGCAAAAGTAAGCCATATTGGAAAGTCGTTTGACAACGACTGCAGTCACTGAGTCAGCATCTACCAATTTCAATCTCGTCTAAATATTAAAATAAGATTATATTTAAATTATTTTCACCGCCCTCATCCCCTTCCACACTCTCCACTTGATAACTGATTCTCTACACCTTCCCATACCTACTAACAATCCCTCCTTCCCCAGGATCGCGTCCCTCTGGGACACCCAGATCTTACCACTACCTCCCTCCCCATGTTCGATCCTCCAACAAGCGTCAGCCTAGAGGAGGCGTCTCCCCCCTCAACCGCCCTATCCCCAAGCCCCAGCGTAAAATCTCCCTGAACTGCCAGAGAGACCTGACCCAGAAACACAAGCCTAAGGCTGTGAAGGTACTGAAATTATTCCGGAAAATGATGACCCAGTATATGGCATCAGTGAAATCAGTTTTAGAGAGAAAAGATGGAATCTCTGAAACTGCTGGCCTTTATCATCTGAAAACGTAATCAATCATCAGTAAAATCTATCTAAACACTCACAGTAGCCGTTCTATACCACAAGGATCCTGTTTCTTCTGGTAGTTCCTTCACGAAAATAGGGCTTAAAAATCCACTTGTGACCTTTATCCTTTTGACCAGAACACTGTAAATCAACTGAGCAAAAGGCCAAACTACATTGTGTAAATAATTAAATTTGATTTTTGATATTGTCATGACCTAGAAGTGTCCCTCTGTCAAGAAATCTGCTGGCCGCCCTCACCCCTTGGACTACAGCAAACCCAGCTTTAAACGTCCACAGGTAGGACCTCAGTCATGGGTGCTGTGACCTCAGAATATCCTTCCCCATAGTGTAGGATCTCCATAAATGACACTGTGGCCTCAAACATCAACATCAACATTAACTAATAATAAGTCATTGCAAAACCTTATCCTGTTGGAGGCAGTTTGCGTTTTTCTTACTTCAAGGTTTTTCTTACTTCAAGGTTATTACTGTCATTGGGTTTATTGGGGTCAATGGAATTTTGTGTTTTTCTTTCACTGTATTTTCTCACAATTTTTTAAATATATTTTAGGAAAGGGGTCTCCAGGTTTGGTATGATGAAGACAAGGTTAGTACTGTCATTAATGCAAGGCATTAGCTATGGCTTTATGAGAAGTCTTTGCTTCAGTATTTATGTATTGTAATATGAAGCCTCTCTAACTTCACATTAGCTTTGGGTAAATTGCAATTCCCCATCTACATGTTGCCCCTTATGGTTCTAATACAATACAACAGACTTGTCACGGGTTGGATACATATGCTCAGCTCAGCCCTCATCACCAGATGTTCTGCCCATTCTAGGATGACAAGGACTCTCCACGCCTGCATCCCTCGAGCGGGAATAGCCGTCCCAAGGAGCACCAGGCTGAGGACAGTCTGGTTCCGGAAGATGATCACTCTCCTCATCTGCCTCCTCCCTCAAGGAGGAGCCGCCACACCAAGCGAAAGACAGACCACCGCATCGAGAACCAGCTGGTTCCAGTCTTTGCCCGGATGAGTCTGGAGGAGGTCTCCAGGTCTGATGCTTCTGCTTCTGCTTCTGCTGCTGCTGCTGCTGATGTTGCTTCAGAGAATCAGGAGGCTTCTACACAGAAAGTCAGTAGTTGTTTGATTTAGATTTGAGTCTCACTTGTGTGTGTCCAAATGGAAATGTCTTGCATCTAATCATCACATTAATGAATGTAATGGTACTCAAGATTTAGCAATTTGGGGGGATGTGAGCACTGAAGCTTATCTGTTAGCTTCGACAACAACCTGGGAATATTGATAGGAACTGTAGTGACCATCATTTACAGCAAGTTTATTGAGAGGCCAAAATTATAGAGATGTGTGTTTGACTCTGCTGTCCTGCTACGATGAAAGCTATTTTTTCTGTAATATTGAAATTGCTGAATTTTGAGGAGACTGATTTGAGAGTCTGCTGTTCTGCCATGATGAAAGCTATGTTGTCTGTTGTAGGCCCAGGAGTGTTCTCGCAAGAGGAAGCTCGGTGATCTGAAGCAGGAGTTGAGCAACAAGCAGCGCAAGGTGGAAGCCTCCCGTCAGGAACTCCAGGCCATCATTGACAGGAAGCTGAAGGAGCTGAGACAGGAGATGGTGGAGCTGAAACAGGAGGTGAAGGAGAGGGAGAGGAAGGAGAGGGCAGCCTTCCAGGTTACCATGGATACACAGAGTGGCCGACGCAAGGTGTGGAGGAGAAAGCAAGGCAACTCCTCTGCACAGAAGACGTCCACCCAGCCACGCCCACTAAAGAGACTGCCTGACAACTCCCATCATTCAGGGAGCACCGAGGCAGCCTCGCAGTGACACTTCAGTGGTAAGTTGGAGTGTGCATGTTAGCATTAATATTGTTGAAAGATGGATAGGTATACAAGTAGGTGTCTGTACGTAGTAGAGTGGATGGTTCTATTTATGGTTGGGTGAAATTAGAAATTGTGGGTGAGTGAGAATTTGTATGTCTCAGGTTGAGTAGATGAGTTTTTTATGGTGGTACGCTTGGTTGGATGTAGAAAGTGGGTGGAAGGGTGGTTTTATGTAGGTGGGTTAAGTGGGTGAAGTAGTGGTTTTATGTAGGTGGGTAACGTAGGTGGAGTGGTGGTTTTATGTAGGTGGGTTAAGTGGGTGGAGTGGTGGTTTTATGTAGGTGGGTTAAGTGGGTGGAGTAGTGGTTTTATGTAGCTGTGATAAGTGGGTGGAGTGGTGGTTTTATGTAGGTGGGTTAAGAAGGTGGAAGGGTGGTTTTATGTAGGAGGGTTAAGTGGGTGGAGTGGTTCTTTTATGTAGATGGGTTAAGTGGGTGGAGTGGTGGTTTTATGTAGGTGCCTTAAGTGGGTGGAGTGGTGGTTTTATGTAGGTGGGTTAAGTGGGTGCAGTGGTGGTTTTATGTAGGTGGGTTAAGTAAGTGGAGTGGTGGTTTTATGTAGGTGGGTTAAGTGGGTGGACTGGTGGTTTTATGTAGGTGGGTGGAAGGGCGGTTTTATGCAGGTGGGTTAAGTTGGTGGAGTGGTGGTTTTATGTAGGTGGGTTAAGTAGTTGGAGTGGTGGTTTTATGTAGGTTGGTTGAGAAGGTGGACTGGTGGTTTTATGTAGGTGGGTGGAAGGGCAGTTTTATGTAGGTGGGTTAAGTTGGTGGAGTGGTGGTTTTATGTAGGTGGGTTAAGTGGGTGGAGTGGTGAAAGTATGTAGGTGGGTTAAGTGGGTGCAGTGGTGGTTTTATGTAGGTGGGTGGAGTGGTGGTTTTATGTAGGTGGGTTAAGTGGGTGGAGTGGTGGTTTTATGTTAGTGGATGGAGTGGTGGCTTTATGTAGGTGGGTTAAGTGGGTGGAGTGGTGAAAGTATGTAGGTGGGTTAAGTGGGTGGAGTGGTGGTTTTGTGTAGGTGGGTTAAGTGGGTGGAGTGGCTGCTTTATGTAGGTGGGTTAAGTGGTGGTTTTATGTAGGTGCCTTAAGCGTGTTTTGTTGTGGTTTTATGAAGGTGGCTTAAGTGAGTGGAGTGGTGGTTTTCTGTAGGTGGGTTAAGTGGGTGCAGTGGTGGTTTTATGTAGGTGGGTTAAGTAAGTGGTGTGGTGGTTTTATGTAGGTGGGTTAAGTTGGTGGAGTGGTGGTTTTATGTAGGTGGGTTAAGTAGTTGGAGTGGTGGTTTTATGTAGGTTGGTTGAGAAGGTGGACTGGTGGTTTTATGTAGGTGGGTGGAAGGGCAGTTTTATGTAGGTGGGTTAAGTTGGTGGAGTGGTGGTTTTATGTAGGTGGGTTAAGTGGGTGGAGTGGTGAAAGTATGTAGGTGGGTTAAGTGGGTGCAGTGGTGGTTTTATGTAGGTGGGTGGAGTGGTGGTTTTATGTAGGTGGGTTAAGTGGGTGGAGTGGTGGTTTTATGTTAGTGGATGGAGTGGTGGCTTTATGTAGGTGGGTTAAGTGGGTGGAGTGGTGAAAGTATGTAGGTGGGTTAAGTGGGTGGAGTGGTGGTTTTGTGTAGGTGGGTTAAGTGGGTGGAGTGGCTGCTTTATGTAGGTGGGTTAAGTGGTGGTTTTATGTAGGTGCCTTAAGCGTGTTTTGTTGTGGTTTTATGAAGGTGGCTTAAGTGAGTGGAGTGGTGGTTTTCTGTAGGTGGGTTAAGTGGGTGCAGTGGTGGTTTTATGTAGGTGGGTTAAGTAAGTGGTGTGGTGGTTTTATGTAGGTGGGTTAAGTGGGTGGAGTAGTGAAAGTATGTTGGTGGGTTAAGTGGGTGGAGTGGTGGTTTTATGTAGGTGGGTTAAGTGGGTGGAGTGGTGGTTTTATGTAGGTGGGTGAAGTGGTGGTTTTATGTAAGTGGGTTGAGTGGTGGCTTTATGTAGGTGGATTAAGTGGGTGGAGTGGTGAAAGTATGTACGTGGGTTAAGTGGGTGGAGTGGTGGTTTTATGAAGGTGGGTTAAGTGGGTGGAGTAGTGAAAGTATGTAGGTGGGTTAAGATGGTGGAAGGATGGTTTTATGTAGGTGGGTGAAATGGTGGTTTTATGTAGGTGGGTTAAGTGGGTGGAGTGGTGGTTTTATGTAGGAGGGTTAAGTGGGTGGAGTAGTGGTTTTATGTAGCTGGGATAAGTGGGTGGAGTGGTGGTTTTATGTAGGTGGGTTAAGTAGGTGGAAGGGTGGTTTTATGTAGGTGGGTTAAGTGGGTGGAGTGGTTCTTTTATGTAGATGGGTTAAGTGGGTGGAGTGGTGGTTTTATGTAGGTGGGCTAAGTGAGTGGAGGAGTGGTTTAATGTAGGTGGGTTAAGTAGGTGGAGTGGTGGTTTTATGTAGGTGGGCTAAGTGCGTGGAGTAGTGGTTTTATGTAGGTGGGTTAAGCGGGTGAAGTGGTTGCTTTATGTAGGTGGGTTAAGTGGGTGGAGTGGTGGTTTTATGTAGGTGCCTTAAGCGGGTGTTGTGGTGGTTTTATGAAGGTGGCTTAAGTGGGTGGAGTGGTGGTTTTATGTAGGTGGGTTAAGTGGGTGGAGTGGTGGTTTTATGAAGGTGGGTGACGTGGTGTTTTATGTAGGTGGGTAAAGTAGGTGGAGTGGTGGTTTTATGTAGGTGAGTTAAGTAGGTGGAGTGGTGGTTTTATGTAGGTTGGTGGAGTGGTGGCTTTATGTAGGTGGGTTAAGTGGATGGAGTGGTGTTTTTATGCAGGTGGGTTAAGTGGAAGGAAGGGTGGTTTTATGTAGGTGGCTTAAGTGGGTGGAGTGGTGGTTTTATGTAGGTGGGTTGAGTAGTGGTTTTATGTAGGTGGGTTACGTAGGTGGAGTGGTGGTTTTATGTAGGTGGGTTAAGTTGCATGTATTACTGTGTATCTCTTGCCTTCTGTCTGACCTTAATGGTACCTTATATTAAGGAAGTCAAAACAAAGTATTCAGATTCATTGGATTAGTTGATGGTTGACATATATATGACAATGCTTAGATTGGTTTCCCCATGAAGGAGTTTCGTTGTCAGTGTTAAAACTAGGTGGATTCATGATTCTATATAGTTAGATTAAGGTGGTTGATGATTCAGACAAGTAGGTGAATGGAATAATTATTCAGTTGGCATTAGCAGTTGGGTTAGCAGTGCTATGTTTAGTAGTTGGGTGAATGGATCTATTTAGTGGGTTAAGCTGCGGAATGGTGTCTGTGCAGGTAACTTTCAATCGTAAGAGTTTGGATGAGCGGCTCAAGTTAGGTTGGTTTAGTGGATGGTTGGGTAGATGGACTGATGATTGTCTCTTCATAAAGGTCTTCTCCCTCTCTCCTGCCTCACTTAGGTTTATGAATGTCTCTAAATTGTAACCTTTGCTGTAAATATTAATGTACAATTGGAAGTAGAATGATATAAACAGTAATGTCATCTTTTAGGATCTGAGATCTAAAACAGAATAAACAAGATTTCCTTAAAAAACACTTTTCTGTTCTGTTATGAAATCATCCAGCTCAAAGGGCTGGGATGAATATGTGCTAACACAAGTGTATTCGGATCCATGGTCCTTTGACGTAAATGTTGGTATCATTACGTTCACCCAATATATATATGTCATTATTCACATATATATGGCTCATATATTTGCAATTGATGAAGTCATCTGATATCCTGTGAGCTGCATCTGAGACATCTTCAATTTCTGTTAACACAGTCTCCCTCTACCATTCCTCCGGCTTGATTTATAAAACCTAATGCAGGATGCACATTATACCCCTCATGATACCGTGACAACAAATTTATCTTGCTGACGTGTTTCATTCTGCCTTTGTAAAAGTATTAAATAAATTGAAAATCTACAGAAAGGAGCTGTTCAAGTGAGCTGAATTATAACTTGTGCTGTGTCACATGACTTTCTTTGACTTCTCGACAGCTTGCAGATTTTTTATTTGTAACAGGGTATGAGTGATGTATTTTCCCTCTCAGAAATCCATGTGCAGCCTGTTTTCCTTGTAGCTGGGTATAAGGGATTTATTCTCCCTCTCAGAAATCCATGTGCAGCCTGTTTTCCTCATAGCTGGGTATGAGGGATTTATTCTCCCTCTCAGAAATCCATGTGCAGCCTGTTTTCCTCGTAGCTGGGTATAAGGGATTTTTTCTCCCTCTCAGAAATCCATTTGCAGGCTGGTTTTCTCGTAGCTGGGTATAAGGGATTTATTCTCCCTCTCAGAAATCCATGTGCAGCCTGTTTTCCTCGTAGCTGGGTATAAGGGATTTTTTCTCCCGCTCAGAAATCCATGTGCAGGCTGGTTTCCTCGTAGCTGGGTATAAGGGATTTATTCTCCCTCTCAGAAATCCATGTGCAGCCTGTTTTCCTCGTAGCTGGGTATGAGGGATTTATTCTCCCTCTCAGAAATCCATGTGCAGCCTGTTTTCCTCGTAGCTGGGTATAAGGGATTTTTTCTCCCTCTCAGAAATCCATTTGCAGGCTGGTTTTCTCGTAGCTGGGTATATGGGATTTATTCTCCCTCTCAGAAATCTATGTGCAGCCTGTTTTCCTCGTAGCTGGGTATAAGGGATTTTTTCTCCCGCTCAGAAATCCATGTGCAGGCTGGTTTCCTCGTAGCTGGGTATAAGGGATTTATTCTCCCTCTCAGAAATCCATGTGCAGCCTGTTTTCCTCGTAGCTGGGTATGAGGGATTTATTCTCCCTCTCAGAAACCCATGTGCAGCCTGTTTTCCTCGTAGCTGGGTATATGGGATTTAGTCTCCATCTCAGAAATCCATGTGCAGCCTGTTTTCTTTGGGTGAGACATTGTCAAAAAAATTAAACAGATTCAAAATTAATATATAAACAGCTATTTGATTGAGCAGAGGTTAGCTTGTGCTATATCACGTCGCTTTCATTGACTCGGAAAAAGCGTGCTGCCTTTTGCTTAGAAGCAAGGTATGAGGGATTTATTCTGAATCTCAGAAAGCCACGTGCACCATGACTTGCTCTTGGCGAGGTATAAGGGATTTATTCCCCCGCTGAGAAATTTATTTCCATACAAGGCGGGATACATTGTAATTTATCAAGGTCACATGAACCAATCAGATCTCGTCATTCTGACATGGAGGTATGATAAAATATTTTGTCAAAATCACATGAACCAATCAGATCTCATCTTTCTGACATAGATGCAAGATAAAACTCAACGAACCTTTGCAATAGTTTTCTTTTGAAGGTGTTTTTCTGCTGGCTTGCATATTTAAAAAACATATTCCTACCAATAAGGGTAGCTATTAGTCTGCCTGAATTTCAACAGACTGAAACCACTTTAGTTTCAAAATTCACAAATATGCATGACACTTATTGAACATGTAACCAGTATCTAACATTTTACCTCCCATGCTGAACATTTCATACCTTCACTCTCTTTCCTTCCTTCTCCCCCTACAATCCCATTCCCTTCCTTCGTCCTCTACAATGCCATTCCCTTCCTTCTCCCTCTACAATGCCATTCCCTTCCTTCTCCCTCTACAATGCCCTTCCCTTCCTTCTCCCTCTACAATGCCCTTCCCTTCCTTCTCCCTCTACAATACCATTTCCTTCCTTCTCCCTCTACAATGCCCTTCCATTCCTTCTCCCTCTACAATGCCATTCCCTTCCTTCTCCCTCTACAATGCCCTTCCCTTCCTTCTCCCTCTACAATGCCCTTCCCTTCCTTCTCCCTCTACAATGCCCTTCCCTTCCTTCTTCCTCTACAAGGCCATTTCCTTCCTTCTCCCTCTACATTGCCTTTCCCTTCCTTCTCCCTCGACAATGCCCTTTCCCTTCCTTCTCCCTCTACAATGCCCTTCCCTTCCTTCTCCCTCTACAATGCCCTTCCCTTCCTTCTTCCTCTACATTGCCTTTCCCTTCCTTCTTCCTCTACAATGCCATTCCCTTCCTTCTCTCTCTACAATGCCCTTCCCTTCCTTCTCCATCTACAATGCCCTTCCCTTCCTTCTCCCTCTACACTGCCCTTCCCTTCCTTCTCCCTCTACAATGCCCTTCCCTTCCTTCTCCCTCTACCATACCAATCCCTTCCTTCTCCATCTATCATACCCATTCCTTCCTCCCCCTCTACCATACCCATCCCTTCCTCCTCCTCCTCCACCATACCCATTCCACCACTCTTACATACCCATTCCTCCCTCCTCCTCTTCCATACCCATCCCTTCCTCCTCTACTATACCCATCCCTTCATCCTCCTCTGCCATACCTATCCCTTCATCCCCCTCCACCATACCCTTCCCTTACTCCTCCTCCTCCTCCTCTACCATACCCATCCCTTCCTCCACCTCTACCATACCCATCCCTTCATCATCCTCTAACATAACCACCCCTTCATCCTCCTATACCATACCCATCCCTTCCTCCTCCTCCTCCTCTACCGGGATCAGGTGTTTGATACATGTCATCGACCCCAATTGCATGGATGAATGCTCATGAGGTCAATCGCTGGGTTCTCTGGTCCAGACTCGATTATTTTACAGACCGCCATCATATAGCTGGAATATTCCTGAGTCCGGCAACAAACAAACAAACAAACAAACACACAAATCATACCCATCCCTTCTCTTCCATACCCATTCCTTCCTCCTCCTCTACCAGGCCCATCCCTTCCTCCTCCTCCCCCTACCATACCCATTACTTCCTCCTCGTCCTCCTCCACCATACCCATCCCTTCAACCTCCTAGACCATACCAACCTTCCTCCTCCTCCTCCTCCTCCCCCATACCCATCCCTTCAACCTCCTCTACCATGCCCGTCCCTTCCTCTTCCTCTTCCATACCCATCCCTTCACCCTCTTCTACCCTACCCATCTCTTCCTCCTCCTCGACCATACCCATCCCTTCCTCCTCCTCTTCCATACCCTTCCCTTCACCCTCCTCTACCATACCCATCCCTTCCTCCTCCTCTTCCATACCCATCGCTTCACCCTTCTCTACCATATCCATCCCTTCCTCCTCCTCTACCATACCTTTCCCTTCCTCTTCTCTTCCATACCAATCCCTTCACCCTCTTCTACCCTACCCATCTCTTCCTCCTCCTCTTCCATACCCATACCTTACTCCTCTACCATACCCATCCCTTCCTCCTCCTCATCCTCTACCAAACCAACCATTACTTCCCCCTACCATACCCATCCCTTCCTCCACCTCTTCCAAACCCAACCTTTCCTCCTCCTCTACCATACCATCCCATCACCCTCTTCATCCATACCCATCCCTTCCTCCTCCTCCAATGCCTTACCTGTACCTTCCTCCTCCTCTACCATACTCATCCCTTCACCCTACTCTTCCACACCAATCCATTCCTTTTCCTATTCCATACCCATCCCTTCATACTCCTCTTCCAACCTGTCCCTTCACTCCCCTCTACAATATCCATCCCTTCCTCCTCTACCAAACCCATCCCTTCACCCCCTCTACAATACGCATCCCTTCCTCCTCCTCCTCCTCCTCTTCCACACACATCCCTGCCTCCTCCTCCAATGCCATAACCATACCTTCCTCCTCCTCAAAAATACCCATCCCTTCAACCCCCTCTACCATACCCATCCCTTCCTCCTCCTCTACCATACCCATCCCTTCCTCCTCCTGCAATGCCATACCCATACCTTCCTCCTGCACTTCCATACCCATCCCTTCACACCCTCTACAATATCCATCCCTTCCTCCTCCTCTACCAAACCTATCCCTTCCTCCTCCAACATACCCATCCCTTCCTCCTCCTCCTCTACCAAACAAACCATTCCTCCTCCCCTACCATATCTATCCCTTCCTCCTCCTCAACCAAACCCATCCCTTCCTCCTCCTACAATGCCATACCTGTATCTTCCTCCTCCTCCTCCTCTATCAAACCAACCATTCCTCCTCCCCTATCATACCCATCCCTTCACCCCCTCTACAATATTCATACCTTCCTCCTCCTCTACCAAATCTATCCCTTCCTCCTCCTCCTCTACCATACCCATCCCTTCCTCCTCCACCTCCTCTACCAAACCAACTATTCCTCCTCCCCTACCATACCAATCCCTTCCTCCTCCACTTCCATTCCAATCCCTTCACCCCCCTCTACCAAACCCATCCCTTTCCTCCTCCTCTACCAAACCCATTCCTTCCTCCTCCTTCTCCTCTACCAAACCAACCATTCCTCTTCCCCTACCATACCCATCCCTTCCTCCTCCTCTTCCAAACCCACCCATTCCTCCTCCTCTACCATACCATCCCTTCACCCTCCTCTTCCATACCCATCCTTACCTCCTCCTCCAATGCCATACCTGTACCTTCCTCCTCTACCAAACCCATCCCTTCACCCTACTCTTCCACACCAATCCCTTCCTCTTCCTATTCCATACCCATCCCTTCATCCTCCTCTTCCAAACCCATCCGTTTCTCCTCCTCCAATGCCATACTCATCCCTTCATCCTTCTCTTCCATACCCATCCCTTCACCCCTCTACAATATCCATCCCTTCCTCCTCCTCTACCAAACCCATCCCTTCACCCCCCTCTACAATATCCATCATTTCCTCCTCCTCCACTACCATACCCACCCACCCTCCTCCAATGCCATATCCATACCTTCCTCCTCCTCTACCATACCCATCCCTTCCTCCTCCTCTACCATACCCATCCCTTCCTCCTCCTCTTCCAAACCCATCCCTTACTCCTCCTCTACCATACCACCTCTCCACCCTCCTCTTCCATACACATCCCTTCCTCCTCCTCAAATGCCATAACATTACCTTCTACCTCCTCTTCCATACCCATCCCTTCAATCTCCTCTACAATATCCATAACTTCCTCCTCCTCTACCAAACCCATACCTTCCTCCTCTACCATACCCATCCCTTCCTCCTCCTCTACCATACCCATTCCTTCAACCCCCTCTACCATACCCATCCCTTCCTCCCCCTCTTCCATACCATCCCTTCACCCTCCTCTTCCATACCAAACCCTTCCTCCTCCTCCAATGCCATACCCATCCCTTCATCCTTCTCTTCCATACCCATCCCTTCACCCCCTCTACAATATCCATCCCTTCCTCCTCCTCTACCAAATCCATCCCTTCACCCCCCTCTACAATATCCATCATTTACTCCTCCTCCAATGCCATACCCACCCACCCTCCTCCAAGGCCGTACCCATACCTTCCTCCTCCTCTACCATACCCATCCCTTCCTCCTCCTCTACCATACCCATCCCTTCCTCCTCCTCTTCCAAACCCATCCCTTACTCCTCCTCTACCATACCACCTCTCCACCCTCCTCTTCCATACACATCCCTTCCTCCTCCTCCAATGCCATAACATTACCTTCTACCTCCTCTTCCAAACCCAACCCCTTCATTCTCCTCTACAATATCCATAATTTCCTCCTCCTCTACCAAACCCACACCTTCCTCCTCTACCATACCCATCCCTTCCTCCTCCTCTACCATACCAATTCCTTCAACCCCCTCTACCATACCCATCCCTTCCTCCCCCACTTCCATACCCATCCCTTCCACCTCCTCCAATGCCATACCCATACCTTCCTCCTCCTCTACCATACCCATCCCTTCCTCCTCCTCAACCATACTCATCCCTTCACACTACTCTTCCACACCAATCCATTTCTTTTCCTATTCCATACCCATCCCTTCATCCTCCTCTTCCAAACCCATCCGTTCCTCCTCCTCCAATGCCATACCCATCCCTTCATCCTTCTCTTCCATACCCATCCCTTCCTCCTCTACTATACCCATCCCTTCATCCTCCTCTGCCATACCTATCCCTTCATCCCCCTCCACCATACCCTTCCCTTACTCCTCCTCCTCCTCCTCTACCATACCCATCCCTTCCTCCACCTCTACCATACCCATCCCTTCATCATCCTCTAACATAACCACCCCTTCATCCTCCTATACCATACCCATCCCTTCCTCCTCCTCCTCCTCTACCGGGATCAGGTGTTTGATACATGTCATCGACCCCAATGCATGGATGAATGCTCATGAGGTCAATCGCTGGGTTCTCTGGTCCAGACTCGATTATTTTACAGACCGCCATCATATAGCTGGAATATTCCTGAGTCCGGCAACAAACAAACAAACAAACAAACACACAAATCATACCCATCCCTTCTCTTCCATACCCATTCCTTCCTCCTCCTCTACCAGGCCCATCCCTTCCTCCTCCTCCCCCTACCATACCCATTACTTCCTCCTCGTCCTCCTCCACCATACCCATCCCTTCAACCTCCTAGACCATACCAACCTTCCTCCTCCTCCTCCTCCTCCCCCATACCCATCCCTTCAACCTCCTCTACCATGCCCGTCCCTTCCTCTTCCTCTTCCATACCCATCCCTTCACCCTCTTCTACCCTACCCATCTCTTCCTCCTCCTCGACCATACCCATCCCTTCCTCCTCCTCTTCCATACCCATCCCTTCACCCTCCTCTACCATACCCATCCCTTCCTCCTCCTCTTCCATACCCATCGCTTCACCCTTCTCTACCATATCCATCCCTTCCTCCTCCTCTACCATACCTTTCCCTTCCTCTTCTCTTCCATACCAATCCCTTCACCCTCTTCTACCCTACCCATCTCTTCCTCCTCCTCTTCCATACCCATACCTTACTCCTCTACCATACCCATCCCTTCCTCCTCCTCATCCTCTACCAAACCAACCATTACTTCCCCCTACCATACCCATCCCTTCCTCCACCTCTTCCAAACCCAACCTTTCCTCCTCCTCTACCATACCATCCCATCACCCTCTTCATCCATACCCATCCCTTCCTCCTCCTCCAATGCCTTACCTGTACCTTCCTCCTCCTCTACCATACTCATCCCTTCACCCTACTCTTCCACACCAATCCATTCCTTTTCCTATTCCATACCCATCCCTTCATACTCCTCTTCCAACCTGTCCCTTCACTCCCCTCTACAATATCCATCCCTTCCTCCTCTACCAAACCCATCCCTTCACCCCCTCTACAATACGCATCCCTTCCTCCTCCTCCTCCTCCTCTTCCACACACATCCCTGCCTCCTCCTCCAATGCCATAACCATACCTTCCTCCTCCTCAAAAATACCCATCCCTTCAACCCCCTCTACCATACCCATCCCTTCCTCCTCCTCTACCATACCCATCCCTTCCTCCTCCTCCAATGTCATACCCATACCTTCCTCCTGCACTTCCATACCCATCCCTTCACCCCCCTCTACAATATCCATCCCTTCCTCCTCCTCTACCAAACCTATCCCTTCCTCCTCCAACATACCCATCCCTTCCTCCTCCTCCTCCTCCTCCTCTACCAAACAAACCATTCCTCCTCCCCTACCATATCTATCCCTTCCTCCTCCTTAACCAAACCCATCCCTTCCTCCTCCTACAATGCCATACCTGTATCTTCCTCCTCCTCCTCCTCTATCAAACCAACCATTCCTCCTCCCCTATCATACCCATCCCTTCACCCCCTCTACAATATCCATACCTTCCTCCTCCTCTACCAAATCTATCCCTTCCTCCTCCTCCTCTACCATACCCATCCCTTCCTCCTCCACCTCCTCTACCAAACCAACTATTCCTCCTCCCCTACCATACCAATCCCTTCCTCCTCCACTTCCATTCCCATCCCTTCACCCCCCTCTACCAAACCCATCCCTTTCCTCCTCCTCTACCAAACCCATTCCTACCTCCTCTATCATACCCATCCCTTCCTCCTCCTCCTCCTCTACCAAACCAACCATTCCTCTTCCCCTACCATACCCATCCCTTCCTCCTCCTCTTCCAAACCCACCCATTCCTCCTCCTCTACCATACCATCCCTTCACCCTCCTCTTCCATACCCATCCTTACCTCCTCCTCCAATGCCATACCTGTACCTTCCTCCTCTACCAAACCCATCCCTTCACCATACTCTTCCACACCAATCCCTTCCTCTTCCTATTCCATACCAATCCCTTCATCCTCCTCTTCCAAACCCATCCGTTTCTCCTCCTCCAATGCCATACTCATCCCTTCATCCTTCTCTTCCATACCCATCCCTTCACCCCCCTCTACAATATCCATCATTTACTCCTCCTCCACTACCATACCCACCCACCCTCCTCCAATGCCATATCCATACCTTCCTCCTCCTCTACCATACCCATCCCTTCCTCCTCCTCTACCATACCCATCCCTTCCTCCTCCTCTTCCAAACCCATCCCTTACTCCTCCTCTACCATACCACCTCTCCACCCTCTTCCATACACATCCCTTCCTCCTCCTCAAATGCCATAACATTACCTTCTACCTCCTCTTCCATACCCATCCCTTCATTCTCCTCTACAATATCCATAATTTCCTCCTCCTCTACCAAACCCATACCTTCCTCCTCTACCTTACCCATCCCTTCCTCCTCCTCTACCATACCCATTCCTTCAACCCCCTCTACCATACCCATCCCTTCCTCCCCCTCTTCCATACCATCCCTTCACCCTCCTCTTCCATACCAAACCCTTCCTCCTCCTCCAATGCCATACCCATCCCTTCATCCTTCTCTTCCATACCCATCCCTTCACCCCCTCTACAATATCCATCCCTTCCTCCTCCTCTACCAAACCCATCCCTTCACCCCCCTCTTCAATATCCATCATTTACTCCTCCTCCAATGCCATACCCACCCACCCTCCTCCAAGGCCGTACCCATACCTTCCTCCTCCTCTACCATACCCATCCCTTCCTCCTCCTCTACCATACCCATCCCTTCCTCCTCCTCTGCCAAACCCATCCCTTACTCCTCCTCTACCATACCACCTCTCCACCCTCCTCTTCCATACACATCCCTTCCTCCTCCTCCAATGCCATAACATTACCTTCTACCTCCTCTTCCAAACCCATCCCTTCATTCTCCTCTACAATATCCATAATTTCCTCCTCCTCTACCATACCCATCCCTTCCTCCTCCTCTACCATACCAATTCCTTCAACCCCCTCTACCATACCCATCCCTTCCTCCCCCGCTTCCATACCCATCCCTTCCACCTCCTCCAATGCCATACCCATACCTTCCTCCTCCTCTACCATACCCATCCCTTCCTCCTCCTCTACCATACTCATCCCTTCACACTACTCTTCCACACCAATCCCTTCCTTTTCCTATTCCATACCCATCCCTTCATCCTCCTTTTCCAAACCCATCCGTTTCTCCTCCTCCAATGCCATACCCATCCCTTCATCCTTCTCTTCCATACCCATCCCTTCAACCCCCTCTACAATATCCATCCCTTCCTCCTCCTCTACAAAACCCACCCCTTCACCCTCCTCTGCAATATCCATCCTTTACTCCTCCTCTACCATACCTGTCCCACCTCCTCCAATGCCATACCCATATTTCCACCTCCTTTACAATACCCATCCCTTCCTCCTCCTCCTCTGCCAAACCAACCCTTCCTCCTCCTCTACCATACCACCTCTTCACCCTCCTCTTCCATACACATCCCTTCCTCCTCCTCCAATGCCATAACCATACCTTGTACCTCCTCTTCCACACCCATCCCTTCATTCTCCTCTACAATATCCATAATTTCCTCCTCCTCTACCAAACCCATACCTTCTCCCTCTACAATGCCCTTTCCTTCCTTCGCCCTCTATAATGCCCTTCCCTTCCTTCTCCCTCTACAATGCCCTTCCTTCTCCCTCTACAAGGCCATTCCCTTTCTTCTTCCTCTACAATGGCATTCCCTTCCTTCTCCCTCTATAATACCCTTCCCTTCCTTCTCCCTCTACGATGCCCTTCCTTCTCCCTCTACAATGCCCTTCCCGTCCTTCTTCCTCTACAATGCCCTTCCCTTCCTTCTCCCTCTACAATCCCCTTCCCTTCCTTCTTCCTCTACAATGCCATTCCCTTTCTTCTTCCTCTACAATGCCACTCCCTTCCTTTTCCCTCTACAATGCCATTCCCTTCTTCTCCCTTTGCAATGCTATTCCCATCCTTCTCCCTGTACAATGTCATTCCCTTCCTTCTCCCTCTACAATGCCATTTTAATCCTTCTCCCCCTAAAATGTCAATCCCTTCCTTCTCCCTCTACAATGACCTTTCCTTCCTTCTCCCTCTATAATGCCCTTCCCTTCCTTCTCCCTCTACAATGCCCTTCCTTCTCCCTCTACAAGGCCATTCCCTTTCTTCTTCCTCTACAATAGCATTCCCTTCCTTCTCCCTCTACAATGCCATTCCCTTTCTTTTCCCTCTATAATGCCTTTCCCTTCCTACTCCCTCTACAATACCCTTCCTTCTCCCTCGACAAGGCCATTCCCTTTCTTCTTCCTCTACAATGGCATTCCCTTCCTTCTCCATCTCCAATGCCATTCCCTTTCTTTTCCCTCTATAATACCCTTCCCTTCCTTCTCCCTCTACAATGCCCTTCCTTCTCCCTCTACAATGCCCTTCCCATCCTTCTTCCTCTACAATGCCCTTCCCTTCCTTCTCCCTCTACAATCCCCTTCCCTTCCTTCTTCCTCTACAAGGCCATTCCCTTTCTTCTTCCTCTACAATGGCATTCCCTTCCTTCTCCCTCTACAATGCCCTCCCCTTCCTTCTCCCCCTACAATGCCCTTCCCTTCCTTCTCCCTCTACATTGCCCTTCCCTTCCTTCTCCCTCTACAATGGCATTCCCTTTCTTTTCCCTCTACAATGCCCATCCCTTCCTTCTCCCTCTACATTGCCCTTCCCTTCCTTCTCCCTCTACAATGGCATTCCCTTTCTTTTCCCTCTACAATGCCCTTCCCTTCCTTCTTCCTCTACAATGCCACTCCCTTCCTTCTCCCTCTACAATACCATTCCCTTCCTTCTCCCTCTGCAATGCTATTCCCATCCTTCTCCCTGTACAATGCCATTCCCTTCCTTCTCCCTCTACAATGCCATTTCAATCCTTCTCCCCCTATAATGTCAATCCCTTCCTTCTCCCTCTACAATGCCATTTCCTTCCTTCTTCCTCTACAATGTCCTTCCCTTCCTTCTCCATCTATCATGCCCATCCCTTCCTCCTCCTCTACCATAACCACCCCTTCCTCCTCCTCCTCCTCCTCTACCACACCCACCCTTCCTCCTCGACCATACCAATCACTTACTCCTCCTCCTCTACCATACCCATCCCTTCCTCCTCTTCCCCTACCATACCCATCCCTTCCTCCTCCTCGACCATACCCATCTCTTCCTCCTCCTCCTCCTCGACCATACCCATCCCTTCCTCCTCCTCGATCGTACCCATCTCTTCCTCCTCCTCGACCATACCCATCCCTTCCTCCTCCTCTACAATACCGATCTCTTCCTCTTCCATACCCATCCCTTCCTCCTCTGCCATACCTATCTCTTTCTCCTCCTAGACCATACCCATCCCTTCACCCATCTCTTCCTCCTCCTCCTCGACCATACCCATCCCATCACCCCCTTCATCCTCCTCTAATGCCATACCCATACCTTCCTCCTCCTCTACCATACCCATCCCTTCACCCTCCTCTTCCACACCAAACCCTTCCTCTTCCTATTCAATACCCATCCCTTCCTCCTCCTCTACCATACCCATCCCTTCACCCTCCTCTTCAATACCCATCCCTTCCTCCTCCTCCAATGCCATACCCATCCCTTCCTCCTCCTCCTCCTCTACCATACCCATCCCTTTACCCTCCTCTACCATACCAATCCCTTCTTCTTCTTCTCCCATACCCATCCTTTCACCCTCTTCTACCATACCCATCCCTTCCTACTCCTCGACCTTACCTATCCCTTCCTCCTCCTCCTCTACCATGCCATTCCCTTCCTTCTCCCTCTTCAATGCCATTTCAATCCTTCTCCCTCTATAATGCCAATCCCTTCCTTCTCCCTCTACAATACCATTCCCTTCCTTCTTCCTTTCTCCTCCTCCTCGACCATACCCATCCCTTCACCCATCTCTTTCTCCTCCTCGACCATACCCATCCCATCACCCCCTTCCTCCTCCTCCAATGCCATACCCATACCTTCCTCCTCCTCTACCATACCCATCCCTTCACCCTCCTCTTCAATACCCATCCCTTCCTCCTCCTCCAATGCCATACCCATCCCTTCCTCCTCCTCTACCATACCCATCCCTTCCTCCTCCTCTTCCATACCCATCCCTTCACCCTCCTCTACCATACCAATTCCTTCTTCTTCTCCCATACCCATCTTTTCACCCTCTTCTACCATACCCATCCCTTCCTACTCCTCGACCATACCACCTCTCCACCCTCCTCTTCCATACACATCCCTTCCTCCTCCTCAAATGCCATAACATTACCTTCTCCCTCTACAATGCCATTTCATTCCTTCTTCCTCTACAATGCCCTTCCCTTCCTTCTCCCTCTACAATGTCCTTCCCTTCCTTCTCCATCTATCATGCCCATCCCTTCCTCCTCCTCTACCATAACCACCCCTTCCTCCTCCTCCTCCTCCTCCACCATACCCACCCTTCCTCCTCGACCATACCAATCACTTACTCCTCCTCCTCTACCATACCCATCCCTTCCTCCTCCTCTTCCCCTACCATACCCATCCCTTCCTCCTCCTCGACCATACCCATCTCTTCCTCCTCCTCCTCGACCGTACCCATCTTTTCCTCCTCTTCCTCTACCATACCCATCTCTTCCTCCTCCTCGACCATACCCATCCCTTCCTCCTCCTCTACAATACTGATCTCTTCCTCTTCCATACCCATCCCTTCCTCCTCTGCCATACCCATCTCTTTCTCCTCCTCCTAGACCATACCCATCCCTTCACCCATCTCTTCCTCCTCCTCCTCGACCATACCCATCCCATCACCCCCTTCCTCCTCCTCTAATGCCATACCCATACCTTCCTCCTCCTCTACCATACCCATCCCTTCACCCTCCTCTTCCACACCAAACCCTTCCTCTTCCTATTCAATACCCATCCCTTCCTCCTCCTCTACCATACCCATCCCTTCACCCTCCTCTTCAATACCCATCCCTTCCTCCTCCTCCAATGCCATACCCATCCCTTCCTCCTCCTCCTCCTCTACCATACCCATCCCTTTACCCTCCTCTACCATACCAATCCCTTCTTCTTCTTCTCCCATACCCATCCTTTCACCCTCTTCTACCATACCCATCCCTTCCTACTCCTCGACCATACCTATCCCTTCCTCCTCCTCCTCTACAATGCCATTCCCTTCCTTCTCCCTCTTCAATGCCATTTCAATCCTTCTCCCTCTATAATGCCAATCCCTTCCTTCTCCCTCTACAATGCCATTCCCTTCCTTCTTCCTTTCTCCTCCTCCTCGACCATACCCATCCCTTCACCCATCTCTTCCTCCTCCTCGACCATACCCATCCAATCACCCTCTTCCTCCTCCTCCAATGCCATACCCATACCTTCCTCCTCCTCTACCATACCCATCCCTTCACCCTCCTCTTCAATACCCATCCCTTCCTCCTCCTCCAATGCCATACCCATCCCTTCCTCCTCCTCCTCTACCATACCCATCCCTTCCTCCTCCTCTTCCCCTACCCATCCCTTCACCCTCCTCTACCATACCAATTCCTTCTTCTTCTCCCATACCCATCTTTTCACCCTCTTCTACCATACCCATCCCTTCCTACTCCTCGACCATACCTATCCCTTCCTCCTCCTCCTCTACCATACCCATCCCTACACTGTCCTCTTCCACACAAATCCCTTCCTCTTCCTATTCCATACTCATCCCTTCATCCTCTTCTTCCATACCCATCCCTTCATCCTCCTATACCATACCCATCCCTTCCTCCTCCTATACCATACCCATCCCTTTCTCCTCCTCTTCGATACTAACCCCTTCCATCTCCTCTACCACACCCATCCCTTCCTTCTCCATCTATCATACCTATGGAGATGGAGAACTTGTGACCACGTGACACAAAGATCAGCGAAGAGATGGATTTTGTTATTTTCGTGTCTCCAAAATCTTGGGTCATTTTCTGTAAAGTATTTTTGCATTGTGTCCTTTTCTCTGTAACCCCTTGACGTAGCTCTCGTCAATATGACGTCTCTTGTTGAGTGAGTGAATACAATGCTGTTTAACGCCGCTATCAGGACATGGCCAGCAGCTACCACGGCATTTAAATATTTGCGTGTGGACCAGACACGACAGGGGGTTCGGGGACATGCAATTATCCATGTCGCGTTCAAGATTCTTGCACTTATACGTGCTTGCGTGTTTGTGTGACACTCCTTGTACGTGTGTATGCGTGCGTGTGTGTGCGTGTGTGTTTGAGAGAGAGAGAGAGAGAGAGAGAGAGACTGCTTGTACGTGTATGCGTGTGCGTGTTCGTGTGTGTGTGTGAGAGAGAGAAAGAGAGAGAGAGAGACTGCTTGTACTAGTCCGAACTAATGCCGATGTTATAGTGCTCGCTGAGATACCATGCCGCTGTTTAACATGAATACCCAACTCAGTATACTGAATCCGAGCCAACCAGTTCTTGGTTCAGCCAAATAAGGCCGAGCGCCAGGTAGGGTAACAACAAGTGCCATCTTTAAACGTCTTTTGGTATGACACGGTCGGGGATCGAACTCCGACCTTCCGCTCTCCGGGCAGACACTCTACCACTAGACCACGGAGGCGGTGGGATCTCCAGGGCATCATCTGGCTGACAGCGTATCATGATCACTGACTGGACCGGCTTACACCACTGTCAATCGCTTTTCCTCATCCATGTCAAATCACGTTTTTCACAAATGTCCTTTTATATCGCCGATCCATCCGCGATGTTTATTGAATACCTTGGTGCAATGACTACATTTATTGTGGTGTACGTCATAGAAGAACGGTAAGTTCTGAATCACTATGTCTGTATTGGTCACAATACACTAGCTGCAGTCATAAAACACATACCTTCTACATGTATGTGGAATGCTGTGTTTCAAGGTAGATTCTTGGCCTGTATCAGGTTCACTCTTAAGGTTTGACGACTCAAGGAATTCCAGCACAGCTTAAGGTGTGAATTTTTATTCTTCTGTAATCTGTATTATTTTAGAAAATATATCAAGATAATAAAAAATCTGCGAGTTTCTTTAAACAGCAGCGGCGCGAAATATGCGTATGGAGGAATGGGGATGTGTGGGTCTTAATGGGAAAACAAAGCTCGTAATAAATGTAGGGACATAATTTATGTTTGAATAAAGATATCTTTAAAGATATATTTTCAGTGCTGTGATAACTTACATGACATTTTAATGTATCTAATTTATTTCGATTCCTTTCAAAATGAAAAACAACAGAACGTCTTTTTGTTCATTTTTCGAATGTTGACTTGAAAGACATGCATGTAGAGATAATTTCGATATTTAAAGACATTTCCGTTTAGGGATTGAACTTCAGAGCTCATGCTGTGAACGGCTGAAACACCTCTAATAGATGAGACAGGCGGAGTTATGTCCCTTGTTTGATAAGCAAAATGGCGCCGCCACTATAGTAACGCTACAGCGGCGGCGGCGGATATTTTCCTCGCCGAAAACTGGCTATTATCCATGGCTACAGAGTTCTTTTAAAGGTGAAAATGTAGATTTTGTGTTTAAGTTGGAGATAACATATTCCTGATGTCAGAAGAACTTCCTTGACGCTCAACCATGACTTAGAAGTTTAGACCTGTCTGACTGCAAGACATTTTAGCAAAATTCATTCATCATAATAAATTTTGCTGCAAGTCATGCGACCTGACGAATAGGTGGAAGTTTTAAAATACACAAACAAAAATAATGTCTTTCAATAAAACCTTAAAGAAAACTCTGCTTCATGCATGGATCCGACTAACATTTGTAAATTTTGCATAAAGCTCAAGTAAGGTGATGTTTGAACGATTTGAATCAGATTTGTGCACAGATTCCCGCGGATAGAATCTGTGCTTCTCATTTTACAAAATGCATAAAATAGCCTCTATGTATAACCAAGATGTGTGTAAGTCGTCTATGAGTATCCATCATGCGATGCATACAATTAAGTTACGGAAAGGGGCGAGTGGTGACGGATCAAGTCGAATCGCGTATCACGGAAAGAAACGAGAGGTACCGAATGAACTTGACAGTTATTTTATAAATTGGACTGACCCAACCTTACACCCCATCTTATGAGAAAAGTGGACTTGCCCTTAGTTACCCACATATCGTTGCTAATCGCTTTCTCGACCGTCCGCACATCCTCTATAAATTACGTAACAGACGCACAACGGCTTCTTCTTCACTGTATCTCGTCAGAGAAACATCGAAGTAATCTCTCGAAAAATCCTACGCTGTGACCACATATTCCTGAGCTGTCTGCTGAATTCTTCCTGATGTCTCGGAGACTTGTCTCAGGTAAGTTTTTATATTTTTAAAAAAAAAATTTATCATCCTTTAGATCTAGATCTACATTTACATATTCAAATATTCTTAGTTTCACCAGATAGTCTAATCACGCTAGATCTACCTGCTGGATACATATTAAACATGTTAAATACGATTTAGATTTTCGAACCAGAATCGAACGAATGTATTTCCGTTAATCTTTGTTTTGATGACAATCGATGGAAGGAAATTGTAGACATGGTAGAGAAGTTGATTGTTCCGCCACTCTTTTTTTAGCAGTCCCGTGAGAGAGGTATTCGCTCTCTTTCTTAATATAGGATAACTGGACTGTGGTTACCCCTTATTTTACATTGGTTGGTTAGCTTTCGAACAATGTAAATGTTACCGTTAGGCCTATAATAATTTCGAGGTGCTGGTGCTTTCCAGCGAACAAATGTTAGACTAAGTTATGTCGTGTTCATTCACCACCTATGTATTAGGTCGGGCGTGGAAAAACGTCATCCTTTTCCATATTTTATTAGTGAGGGTAGATCTAATTTTTATACTTTTTGCCTATCTTGTTTGTACGATGACGGAATGTTCAGTGGATGAACGTGTCTCATCAAGTCAAATTTACCGCATATATAAACTTATAATGAAAACCAAAGCCTGTTAGGCCTAGAAATTCCGCACGGAGAACCTTCCAAATTAAGTATTCCTTGAGATAAAACGTAGGATTTTCTTTTAATTTGTATAAAGTTATTGTAACCCAATAACTTGTTGTAAATAATCTTAATGGTTAATAACGAGCCTTACTTTTAGTTTATGTTTATGTTTGATTTTTCCATAGCACATTTACTTTTCTCATAAGATACATAGATCTATGATTAACAAATTAATCATTCTTTCCTTGTGTGTTAATTTGACAGGATCGCTGATAAGTTTTGCACGTTTTGCATTTCTTCCAAAAACACTGGTTCATTAGTTAGGCCCAAATCCATTACTGAAGTTTACCTCCTTTAAGTATAGCTACACTGAATTTCCCTCTCATAAACTGCAACAAGGTGTATCCATAACCTGTAAGATATTGTGTGAAAATCATATTCCTTGGGAGAGTGACTAGTGAGTGAGTATGGTTCTATGCCCCGTTTAGCAATATTCCAGCAATAAGTGATGACGGAATGCATTATCTGCATGAAAAAAAGCACAGCTGGAACATGCATACTTGATATGAGGATTGGATTATAAGCAGGGATGTGAAATCTCCGCGGAAACGCGGAAAATCGCGTTTTTTAAAACAGTAGTCCTCGGAAAAAATCATCTTCCGCGGAAAAAAATTATTAAAAATTTATAAAAAAAAACACTCCGAAAAATATGTTCGAAAACTGGACAATTGGCACGGATTTTCCTGTTTTCGATCGGAGCTTTCACAGCATAGGTTTTCGGACATCATACGTTTTCTGTCACGAATACTTGCACTATAACGTGAGGTGTGGCGTCACACAGAAATTGTAAATACTCAGAGTCAGCTGATGGCTTGTTTTTAAGATAAAGTTGTCTTTTAGCCTGTAAGTGAATGAGATGTTTTACAGTTGTTCATGTGATAAGCGAGAAATTTATGAATGTTTCTTCAGCGTCCAAAACCCCATAACATTGGGATATATATTGTATTAATGTCTTATGTTTGCAATGGAGTTTTGTTTTTTTCATCAAAAGGTAAGTACAAGGTAAGTTTTTTTCAATATGCTTCAACATGGGGAAAGGGTCAGACATTGCACGCTTGTGACAGTTGTCCTTGTGTCTGGGGGATGGGGGTTGATGTTTATGGCAGTATTGCTCCCAGACCTGGCGGGTAGCCAGGTGCGCGAAAGCTATGCCCGATTTTTTTAAAGTACTGATTTAACTTCGAAATTTTACTGCATCTGCCATCTTGTTTATTTTACTTATTGACTTTTGCCTTTGACTTATTACATTTCTTGGTGTGAATGTTGTCCAAACTGCATGAAATTGCTTAAAATGCAATCAAATGTTTTAAAAATTTCTGGGGGGGGGGGGGGGCATACCCCCAGACCCCCCTAGACTTTTCCTCTTTTTTCGGCAAAACCTGTGCACATCCCTGTATAAGTGTGATAAAATCATTATTCTTTTCCATGAAGCAAAAGTAAGCCATATTGACAACGACTGCAGTCACTGAGTCAGCATCTACCAATTTCAATCTCGTCTAAATATTAAAATAAGATTATATTTAAATTATTTTCATCGCCCTCATCCCCTTCCACACTCTCCACTTGATAACTGATTTTCTACACCTTCCCATACCTACTGACAATCCCTCCTTCCCCAGGATCGCGTCCCTCTGGGACACCCAGATCTTACCACTACCTCCCTCCCCATGTTCGATCCTCCAACAAGCGTCAGCCTAGAGGAGGCGTCTCCCCCCTCAACCGCCCTATCCCCAAGCCCCAGCGTAAAATCTCCCTGAACTGCCAGAGAGACCTGACCCAGAAACACAAGCCTAAGGCTGTGAAGGTACTGAAATTATTCCGGAAAATGATGACCCAGTATATGGCATCAGTGAAATCAGTTTTAGAGAGAAAAGATGGAATCTATCAAACTGCCGGGCTTTATCATCTGAAAACGTAATCAATCATCAGTAAAATCTATCTAAACACTCACAGTAGCGGTTCTATACCACAAGGATCCTGTTTCTTCTGGTAATTCCTTCACGAAAATAGGTCTTAAAAATCCACTTGTGACCTTTATCCTTTTGACCAGAACACTGTAAATCAACTGAGCAAAAGGCCAAACTACATTGTGTAAATAATTAAATTTAATTTTTGATATTGTCATGACCTAGAAGTGTCCCTCTGTCAAGAAATCTGCTGGCCGCCCTCACACCTTGGACTACAGCAAACCCAGCTTTAAACGTCCACAGGTAGGACCTCAGTCATGGGTGCTGTGACCTCAGAATGTCGTTCCCCATAGTGTAGGACCTCCATTAATGACACTGTGGCCTCAAACATCAACATCAACAATAACTAATAATATTATTTTCAACATAAGTCATTGCAAAACCTTATCCTGTTGGAGGCAGTTTGCGTTTTTCTTACTTCAAGGTTTTTCTTACTTCAAGGTTATTACTGTCATTGGGTTTATTGGGGTCAATGGAATTTTGTGTTTTTCTTTCACTGTATTTTCTCACAATTTTTTTAATATATTTTAGGAAAGGGGTCTCCAGGTTTGGTATGATGAAGACAAGGTTAGTACTGTCATTAATGCAAGGCATTAGCTATGGCTTTATGAGAAGTCTTTGCTTCAGTATTTATGTATTGTAATATGAAGCCTCTCTAACTTCACATTAGCTTTGGGTAAATTGCAATTCCCCATCTACATGTTGCCCCTTATGGTTCTAATACAATACAACAGACTTGTCACGGGTTGGATACATATGCTCAGCTCAGCCCTCATCACCAGATGTTCTGCCCATTCTAGGATGACAAGGACTCTCCACGCCTGCATCCCTCGAGCAGGAATAGCCGTCCCAAGGAGCACCAGGCTGAGGACAGTCTGGTTCCGGAAGATGATCACTCTCCTCATCTGCCTCCTCCCTCAAGGAGGAGCCGCCACACCAAGCGAAAGACAGACCACCGCATCGAGAACCAGCTGGTTCCAGTCTTTGCCCGGATGAGTCTGGAGGAGGTCTCCAGGTCTGATGCTTCTGCTTCTGCTTCTGCTGCTGCTGCTGCTGATGTTGCTTCAGAGAATCAGGAGGCTTCTACACAGAAAGTCAGTAGTTGTTTGATTTAGATTTGAGTCTCACTTGTGTGTGTCCAAATGGAAATGTCTTGCATCTAATCATCACATTAATGAATGTAATGGTACTCAAGATTTAGCAATTTGGGGGGATGTGAGCACTGAAGCTTATCTGTTAGTTTCGACAACAACCTGGGAATATTGATAGGAACTGTAGTGACCATCATTTACAGCAAGTTTATTGAGAGGCCAAAATTATAGAGATGTGTGTTTGACTCTGCTGTCCTGCTACGATGAAAGCTATTTTTTCTGTAATATTGAAATTGCTGAATTTTGAGGAGACTGATTTGAGAGTCTGCTGTTCTGCCATGATGAAAGCTATGTTGTCTGTTGTAGGCCCAGGAGTGTTCTCGCAAGAGGAAGCTCGGTGATCTGAAGCAGGAGTTGAGCAACAAGCAGCGCAAGGTGGAAGCCTCCCGTCAGGAACTCCAGGCCATCATTGACAGGAAGCTGAAGGAGCTGAGACAGGAGATGGTGGAGCTGAAACAGGAGGTGAAGGAGAGGGAGAGGAAGGAGAGGGCAGCCTTCCAGGTTACCATGGATACACAGAGTGGCCGACGCAAGGTGTGGAGGAGAAAGCAAGGCAACTCCTCTGCACAGAAGACGTCCACCCAGCCACGCCCACTAAAGAGACTGCCTGACAACTCCCATCATTCAGGGAGCACCGAGGCAGCCTCGCAGTGACACTTCAGTGGTAAGTTGGAGTGTGCATGTTAGCATTAATATTGTTGAAAGATGGATAGGTATACAAGTAGGTGTCTGTACGTAGTAGAGTGGATGGTTCTATTTATGGTTGGGTGAAATTAGAAATTGTGGGTGAGTGAGAATTTGTATGTCTCAGGTTGAGTAGATGAGTTTTTTATGGTGGTACGCTTGGTTGGATGTAGAAAGTGGGTGGAAGGGTGGTTTTATGTAGGTGGGTTAAGTGGGTGAAGTAGTGGTTTTATGTAGGTGGGTAACGTAGGTGGAGTGGTGGTTTTATGTAGGTGGGTTAAGTGGGTGGAGTGGTGGTTTTATGTAGGTGGGTTAAGTGGGTGGAGTAGTGGTTTTATGTAGCTGTGATAAGTGGGTGGAGTGGTGGTTTTATGTAGGTGGGTTAAGAAGGTGGAAGGGTGGTTTTATGTAGGAGGGTTAAGTGGGTGGAGTGGTGAAAGTATGTAGATGGGTTAAGTGGGTGGAGTGGTGGTTTTATGTAGGGGGGCTAAGTGGGTGGAGTAGTGGTTTTATGTAGGTGGGTTAAGTAGGTGAAGTGGTTGCTTTATGTAGGTGGGTTAAGTGGGTGGAGTGGTGGTTTTATGTAGGTGGGTTAAGTAAGTGGAGTGGTGGTTTTATGTAGGTGGGTTAAGTAGGTGGAGTGGTGGTTTTATGTAGATGGATTAAGTGGGTGGAGTGGTGGTTTTATGTAGGAGGGTTAAGTAGTTGGAGTGGTGGTTTTATGTAAGTGGGTTAAGTGGGTGGAGTGGTGGTTTTATGTAGGTGGGTGGAGTGGTGGTTTTATGTAGGTGGGTTAAGTGGTTGGAGTGGTTGTTTTATGTAGGTGGGTTAAGTGGGTGGACTGTTGAAAGTATGTAGGTGGGTTAAGTGGGAGGAGTGGTGGTTTTATGTAGGTGGGTGGAGTGGTGGTTTTATGTAGGTGGGTTAAGTGGATGGAGTGGTGGTTTTATGTTAGTGGATGGAGTGGTGGCTTTATGTAGGTCGGTTAAGTGGGTGGAGCGGTGGTTTTATGTAGGTGGGTTAAGTGGGTGGAGTGGCTGCTTTATGTAGGTGGGTTAAGTGGTGGTTTTATGTAGGTGCCTTAATGCATGTGTTGTGGTGGTTTTATGAAGGTGGCTTAAGAGGGTGGAGTGGTGGTTTTATGTAGGTGGGTTAAGTGGGTGGAGTGGTGGTTTTATGTAGGTGGGTTAAGTGGGTGGAGTGGTGAAAGTATGTAGGTGGGTTAAGTGGGTGGAGTGGTGGTTTTATGTAGGTTGGTTAAGTGGGGGAAGTGGTGGTTTTATGTAGGTGGGTTAAGTGGGTGGAGTGGTGGTTTTATGTAGGTGGGTTAAGTGGGTGGAGTGGTGAAAGTATGTAGGTGGGTTAAGTGGGTGGAGATGTGGTTTTATGTAGGTGGGTTAAGTGGGTGAAGTGGTGGTTTTATGTAGGTGGGTTAAGTGGGTGGAGTGGTGAAAGTATGTAGGTGGGTTAAGTTGGTGGAGTGGTGGTTTTATGTAGGTTGGTTAAGTGGGTGGTGTGGTGGTTTTATGTAGGTGGGTTAAGTGGGTGGAGTGGTGGTTTTATGTAGGTTGGTTAAGTGGGTGGAGTGGTGGTTTTATGTAGGTGGGTTAAGTGGATGGAGTGGTGGTTTTATGTTAGTGGATGGAGTGGTGGCTTTATGTAGGTCGGTTAAGTGGGTGGAGCGGTGGTTTTATGTAGGTGGGTTAAGTGGGTGGAGTGGCTGCTTTATGTAGGTGGGTTAAGTGGTGGTTTTATGTAGGTGCCTTAATGCATGTGTTGTGGTGGTTTTATGAAGGTGGCTTAAGAGGGTGGAGTGGTGGTTTTATGTAGGTGGGTTAAGTGGGTGGAGTGGTGGTTTTATGTAGGTGGGTTAAGTGGGTGGAGTGGTGAAAGTATGTAGGTGGGTTAAGTGGGTGGAGTGGTGGTTTTATGTAGGTTGGTTAAGTGGGGGAAGTGGTGGTTTTATGTAGGTGGGTTAAGTGGGTGGAGTGGTGGTTTTATGTAGGTGGGTTAAGTGGGTGGAGTGGTGAAAGTATGTAGGTGGGTTAAGTGGGTGGAGATGTGGTTTTATGTAGGTGGGTTAAGTGGGTGAAGTGGTGGTTTTATGTAGGTGGGTTAAGTGGGTGGAGTGGTGAAAGTATGTAGGTGGGTTAAGTTGGTGGAGTGGTGGTTTTATGTAGGTTGGTTAAGTGGGTGGTGTGGTGGTTTTATGTAGGTGGGTTAAGTGGGTGGAGTGGTGGTTTTATGTAGGTTGGTTAAGTGGGTGGAGTGGTGGTTTTATGTAGGTGGGTTAAGTGGGTGGAGTGGTGGTTTTATGTTAGTGGATGGAGTGGTGGCTTTATGTAGGTCGGTTAAGTGGGTGGAGCGGTGGTTTTATGTAGGTGGGTTAAGTGGGTGGAGTGGCTGCTTTATGTAGGTGGGTTAAGTGGTGGTTTTATGTAGGTGCCTTAATGCATGTGTTGTGGTGGTTTTATGAAGGTGGCTTAAGAGGGTGGAGTGGTGGTTTTATGTAGGTGGGTTAAGTGGGTGGAGTGGTGGTTTTATGTAGGTGGGTTAAGTGGGTGGAGTGGTGAAAGTATGTAGGTGGGTTAAGTGGGTGGAGTGGTGGTTTTATGTAGGTTGGTTAAGTGGGGGAAGTGGTGGTTTTATGTAGGTGGGTTAAGTGGGTGGAGTGGTGGTTTTATGTAGGTGGGTTAAGTGGGTGGAGTGGTGAAAGTATGTAGGTGGGTTAAGTGGGTGGAGATGTGGTTTTATGTAGGTGGGTTAAGTGGGTGAAGTGGTGGTTTTATGTAGGTGGGTTAAGTGGGTGGAGTGGTGAAAGTATGTAGGTGGGTTAAGTTGGTGGAGTGGTGGTTTTATGTAGGTTGGTTAAGTGGGTGGTGTGGTGGTTTTATGTAGGTGGGTTAAGTGGGTGGAGTGGTGGTTTTATGTAGGTTGGTTAAGTGGGTGGAGTGGTGGTTTTATGTAGGTGGGTTAAGTGGGTGGAGTGGTGAAAGTATGTAGGTGGGTTAAGTGGGTGGAGATGTGGTTTTATGTAGGTGGGTTAAGTGGGTGAAGTGGTGGTTTTATGTAGGTGGGTTAAGTGGGTGGAGTGGTGAAAGTATGTAGGTGGGTTAAGTTGGTGGAGTGGTGGTTTTATGTAGGTTGGTTAAGTGGGTGGTGTGGTGGTTTTATGTAGGTGGGTTAAGTGGGTGGAGTGGTGGTTTTATGTAGGTTGGTTAAGTGGGTGGTGTGGTGGTTTTATGTAGGTGGGTTAAGTGGGTGGAGTGGTGAAAGTATGTAGGTTGGTTAAGTGGGTGGAGTGGTGGTTTTATGTAGGTTGGTTAAGTGGGTGAAGTGGTGGTTTTATGTAGGTGGGTTAAGTGGGTGGAGTGGTGAAAGTATGTAGGTGGGTTAAGTGGGTGGAGTGGTGGGTTTATGTAGGTTGGTTAAGTGGGTGGAGTGGTGGTTTTATGTAGGTGGGTTAAGTGGGTGGAGTGGTGAAAGTATGTAGGTGGGTAGAGTGGTGGTTTTATGTAGGTTGGTTAAGTGGGTGAAGTGGTGGTTTTATGTAGGTGGGTTAAGTGGGTGGAGTGGTGAAAGTATGTAGGTGGGTTAAGTGGGTGTAGTGGTGGTTTTATGTAGGTGGGTTAAGTGGGTGGAGTGGTGGTTTTATGTAGGTGGGTTAAGTGGGTGATGTGGTGGTTTTATGTAAGTGGGTGGAATGGTGGCTTTATGTAAGTGGGTGGAGTGGTGGTTTTATGTAGGTGGGTTAAGTGGGTGGAGTGGTGGTTTTATGTAGGTGGGTTAAGTAGGTGGAGTGGTGAAAGTATGTAGGTGGGTTAAGTGGGTTGAATGGTGGTTTTATGTAGGTGGGTTAAATAGGTGGAGTGGTGTTTTATGTAGATGGGTTAAGTGGGTGGAGTGGTGGTTTTATGAAGGTGGGTGACGTGGTGGTTTTATGTAGGTGGGTAAAGTAGGTGGAGTGGTGGTTTTATGTAGGTGAGTTAAGTAGGTGGAGTGGTGGTTTTATGTAGGTTGGTGGAGTGGTGGCTTTATGTAGGTGGGTTAAGTGGATGGAGTGGTGTTTTTATGCAGGTGGGTTAAGTGGAAGGAAGGGTGGTTTTATGTAGGTGGCTTAAGTGGGTGGAGTGGTGGTTTTATGTAGGTGGGTTAAGTGGGTGGAGTGGTGGTTTTATGTAGGTGGGTTAAGTAGGTGGAGTGGTGAAAGTATGTAGGTGGGTTAAGTGGGTGGAATGGTGGTTTTATGTAGGTGGGTTAAATAGGTGGAGTGGTGTTTTATGTAGATGGGTTAAGTGGGTGGAGTGGTGGTTTTATGAAGGTGGGTGACGTGGTGTTTTATGTAGGTGGGTAAAGTAGGTGGAGTGGTGGTTTTATGTAGGTGAGTTAAGTAGGTGGAGTGGTGGTTTTATGTAGGTTGGTGGAGTGGTGGCTTTATGTAGGTGGGTTAAGTGGATGGAGTGGTGTTTTTATGCAGGTGGGTTAAGTGGAAGGAAGGGTGGTTTTATGTAGGTGGCTTAAGTGGGTGGAGTGGTGGTTTTATGTAGGTGGGTTGAGTAGTGGTTTTATGTAGGTGGGTTACGTAGGTGGAGTGGTGGTTTTATGTAGGTGGGTTAAGTTGCATGTATTACTGTGTATCTCTTGCCTGCTGTCTGACCTTAATGGTACCTTAATGGTACAGTGACTACATTTAGCATTGATATTTAGGAAGTCAAAACAAAGTATTCAGATTCATTGGATTAGTTGATGGTTGACATATATATGACAATGCTTAGATTGGTTTCCCCATGAAGGAGTTTCGTTGTCAGTGTAAAAACTAGGTGGATTCATGATTCTATATAGTTAGATTAAGGTGGTTGATGATTCAGACAAGTAGGTGAATGGAATAATTATTCAGTTGGCATTAGCAGTTGGGTTAGCAGTGCTATGTTTAGTAGTTGGGTGAATGGATCTATTTAGTGGTTAAGCTGCGGAATGGTGTCTGTGCAGGTAACTTTCAATCGTAAGAGTTTGGATGAGCGGCTCAAGTTAGGTTGGTTTAGTGGATGGTTGGGTAGATGGACTGATGATTGTCTCTTCATAAAGGTCTTCTCCCTCTCTCCTGCCTCACTTAGGTTTATGAATGTCTCTAAATTGTAACCTTTGCTGTAAATATTAATGTACAATTGGAAGTAGAATGATATAAACAGTAATGTCATCTTTTAGGATCTGAGATCTAAAACAGAATAAACAAGATTTCCTTAAAAAACACTTTTCTGTTCTGTTATGAAATCATCCAGCTCAAAGGGC